TATATATATGTGTATACATAGAATATATATGTGTGTGCATACATATAATGTGTCTTGATTGTATCCACCCCCAGCTCCCTCCTCTCCCCCTCTCACCTACAACATGTCCTCTTCCCCCTCCCCCTCCATGTCCTATTTGTTTTTGTTACCTGTTGAACCCAATCAGTGCTGAATGCTGGAGTGTTGACCTCTCTTGTTGGGTTCATCAGAGCAGATAGTTTCTGTGTTCCTGCATGTAACTGTCTTGCCCTGCACAGAAGGCTGGATCTCTCAGCGCTCCTCCCTACCCTCCGTCTCCTACAGTCTGTCTGCACTCTCTCATTCTCCTCAGGCCTGGGGTTGGGAGTGTATAGACATCAGTTTAGGGCTGACCACTTAATAATCACTTCTTATACTATATAATATGATATACAATATATATATATATACTACATGACTAAATATTCAGTATATATAATATAATACAATATGTTAATATAAATACAATATATTATATGTAATACAATGTATTATATTATAACTATATTAATTTAATATATTGTATAATAATATATTACATTACAAATATTTTATATAATATTCTATATTATATACATGTGTGTGCACATATATGTATATACATGTATATATATACATATATATATGTATATATTCAAAAACTGCTGTAACCAGAGAGGCTGTCTGACTTACCTAAGGTCACACAGCAGAGCACATGAATTCAGAGCTTTAGTCAGGTTCACAGCTGCCAGGCTGGGCCTGCTAGGTCTCTGTGACTCTGACAGGTGACACAGATATTTACACAGAAGGAGCAGAGCAGCCAGACTCAGTGACCGCTGTCCTGGAGATGCATGTTGTCCCTGAGGTGACTAGCAGGGCACTCGGGAGTACGGGCAGGGTCATGACCCCATCTCCACAGCTAGCAGGTCATTTGAGCTGCCACAGCCCCAGGCAGGAAGGTAAGCTGGCCTACACATCAGGTACAAAATGACAGCTACTCAGCGGTGCCAAGAGGTCTTGTGAGGAAGTCCCACCCACACCTGCAGTCCCTCCACCACTGTTGCTGGGTGCTTGGTGTCGACATCAAAGACCTGACCCTCCTGAACAAAATGTTCTAGTCTAGAGGAACAGTCAACACGTTAGCAAGAGACACAGAAGGGCTTGGGGACAGCCAGGCTGGGCAAGGCTGGTGGACTTTGGCTCTGTCCAGTTCTTCAGGGAAGGAAGAGATTACTTCAAGCAAAGCCGGAAATTCCGAGGGCCAGGTGTCAACCATCACAGCCTCCTCTGATCCTGGTTCATCAGGTAAAGGCGCCTACTGCCAAACAGGTGATCTGAATTTGATACTCTGGGACCCATGTGGTAGAAGGCAAGAATTAACTACCCCTGATTGTCCTCTGACCTGAAACCACACACTATTATATGTGCCATCCTGCTGTCCCATTTCCTGCTTTTTTTTTTTTTTTTTTTTTTGAGATGGGGTTTCTCTGTGTAGTTCTGGCTGTCCTGGAACTCACTCTGTAGACCAGGCTGGCCTCGGACTCAGAAATCCACCTCCCTCTGCCTCCCAAGTGCTGAGATTAAAGGCTTGCGCCACCACTGTCCAGCGACTTTTCTTGGAGAAATACAGAGAATCGTCTGTCCCCCTGGACATGCACAGAGCAACCGGAGTAAGGACCCACGTGCAGCCTGGCAGAGCAATGAGTTTATTGGGGTTACTTGCAGCAGTGTGGGCGACGAAGGCAGCTGCATCACCACAAGGTCATGTCCCAGCCTGGGTGACGGTTCAGGAATGTAGCCCATCAGGAGCTGGGGGAAGCAGGCAGAAGAGGTTACAGGATCGGAAGGTCTCAACACCTGCCCCACCCCCAGTAACCACGATCACCGCATCACGGTTTTGATTATTGCCTTGTCCTGACTTGGGGCCGAGGAACTCTGAAGGTCGCCACGGTGACCACTGTCCCGTGAAGTTGGTGACGGGTTATGCCCAGAGGTCATAGCAACATTGCAGAATTGAAACTTGGCGTCATTGCTTGGAGACAAGAGAGGACCCCAGATTCCGGTCAGGTCCTTGACGTGAACAGTTTCACTTCAGGAATCAGGAAAAGGACAAACGGGCATGGGGTGGGGACAGGGCTCAGTCAATAGAGTACCCGCTTGGCACTCGTGAACCGCTGGCGTTCCATCGGCAGGGAGGCAGTTCAAAGACACCCTTGGTTGGTTTGAAACCAACGGGGGTTATGTGAGATCCTGTCGATAAACAAACACATGCTAGGACAGATCAAACCTACTGAAGAGTGATCCCACTTTTAGATGCTCTCGGTGCGGTGGCGCACGCCTTTAATCCCAACACTTGGGAGGCAGAGGCAGGTGGATTTCTGAGTTCGAGGCCAGCCTGGTCTACAGAGTGAGTTCCAGGACAGCCAGGGTTACACAGAGAAACCATGTCCCGAAAAAAAACAAAAGAAAAACAAAGCAAACAAACAAACAAAAAAACAAACAAAAAACAGATGCTCTCCGGGGGACAGCGTTCCGAAGACATACTACTGTCTTCAGCCCAGTCATTGGGGTCTTCAAATAGCACCGCCTCCTTCCCGCTGGAACCCAGAAAGCCAGAGTCATCTGTGCCCATTCATGCACCAAGATCTTACTGAAGGGTGGAAGAGTTGGTTCACAGTTAAGAGCACTGGCTGCTTTTCAAAAGACGGGGTTCAATTCCCAGCACCCACAGGGCCGCTCACAAGCTCCTCTAACTCCAATTCCAGATGATCTGCCTCCCTCTTCTGGTCTCTTCAGGTACTGCACACGGGGTATAGAAAACACCCCCATACACGTAAAAAATAAAAATGAATGAATCCTTTAAAATAATTTATATACTGAGGGGGCTGGAGAGACGGCTCAGCGGTTAAGAGCACTGACTGCTCTTCCAGAGGTCCTGAGTTCAAATCCCAGCAACCACATGGTGGCTCACAGCCATCTGTAATGGGATCCGATGCCCTCTTCTGGTGTGTCTGAAGATGGCTACAGTGTACTCATATACATTAAATAAATAAGTTAATTAATTAATTAATAGGGAACAGGCAGGGTCCCTGCAAACAACGGTGACAAAGACACAGTCATTGGTGAAAGTGGACATTTCACAGGGGACAAAGCTGGTAAAAATGACAATCAAGGTTAGACCTGCTTGAGACGCCCTCTTCCGAGGACTGGGCCAGTGAAAGCTGGTCAAGGAGTCCGAAGGGGAGACGGCTGAGAGGCACCTCACGGATGAGCGGCCCTTCCTGCCTTTGTCCACCAGGGGGCGCCACAGCTAAGAGGGCCGGGCAGGGTTCCTTTTCTTCACCCGACTGGGCTCACCGTGACGTTACATCTGGCTCAACCGCCCAGTTGTTAAACATCAGCGATTTCATACAGCTCAGCTCATTACTGTAGCTGTGTGCCTGGTTCCCATCTGTTCCTTCACTAGCATGTGTTATCCCCACACTCAGATCAGACCCACCACAAAACAGACCTCAGAAAACTAGTGGGATTTTTTTTTCAAGTGCTTATGTGCACACATATGTGTATACACACATGTTAAGGCCAGAAGTCAATGCTGGGATGTCTTCCTCAATTCATCTCCACTGTTTTGTTTTGCTTTTGTGTGTGTGTGTGTGTTTTCTTTTTCTTTTTTTCTTTTGTTTTTTTCGAGACAGGGTTTCTCTGTATAGCCCTGGCTGTCCTGGAACTCACTCTGTAGACCAGGCTGGCCTCGAACTTAGAAATCCACCTGCCTCTGCCTCTCAAGTGCTGGAATCAAGGTCATGTACCTGCACACCTGTCGTCACCTGTTTTTTCTTTTACTAATTTCTTTGATATGTATGTACATGTTCCTCTTGCCTATATGTGTACCACATGCGTGCTGGATGGGGGGATGGGAGGCCTTAGAACTGAAGTATGCTTGATGTGGAAGCTAAGGACCCAACCTAGGTCCACTCCAGGAAGAAAATCCTCTCCACCAATCGCCGAGCCATCTCTCTAGCCCCTTTCTTGTAATTTAAAAAGAATTACATTTATTTGTGGGTCTGTCTGTCTGACGTCTGTCTGTCTGTGGCGGAGATGCACCTGACACCGCGTAGAGGTCAGCTGGTTCTCTTCTCTTCACTGTGTGGGTTCACGAGATCCAGCTCACGTCGGAGCCTTTATCGCTGAGACGTCTTCACTTATAACAAGGTCTCTCACAGAACCCGGAACTCCAGAGTTTGGCCAGACTGACTGGCCAGCAAACCCCTGAGAACCTCCTCAGTGCTGGGATTACAGGGGTGTGCCGTCATACTTGGCTTTTCTATGTGAGTGCCAGGTCCTCACGCTTGAGTGACAAGCACATGACCCACCTCCACGGCAACTCAGAAAATAAGTGTTGAATGAGTGTGTGAGCAAGTCCTCCGAAAGATGTTTGGTTCTTGCGTTTAACTGGTTGTGACTTGGAAGAGCCCGAGGGCTGGACAGAGAACCGCAGCTGCTGGCTGTCCCCTGGAGGGAGCATCTGATGGGTACTTACTATGCATGGGGTACCAAGTTCAGCACTTCTCATGTCTCATTCACTGTTATTCTCTGGGGGCGGGGAGGAGAACTGGCTTCTGTAAACCTGCCCCCAGATGACCTAACTGGGTCCAAACCTTCCCCTAAGTCCCTAACTTCCTACTCCCAGAACCCATTGGCATACACCCTCTCTCCCTCAATGAGGAATAAGGTCAACCTGTCACAGCAGTATTGAAAGTCCCACCTCATTGGCTTGGTGTAAGAACCTAGTCTGTCTGTACTTGGAACGATATGTTCTTAAGGACCCCTGAAAGGGGGTTCACTTGCTATTTTCCAGTTCTGTAACAGAGCCAAAGAGATCCCTTTGGTAGCAAGTTCCCAGCTGGTGAGGTGAAGGAGGGGCGTGAATAATGCTCTTGACTGATGCTGGAACCCCCAACCCTTGACCCTCAGCAGGGTGACTGAACATTGGACACTCACCTCGCACCGTGACTGGCTGTCTACATAGAGAGTTCCAGGTTGGCAAGGGCTCCCTAGTGAGACCCTGTCTTCAAAACAAAAACAAAAACAAAAACACAATTAAAAGTAAAAACAGCTGCACACCCTGAGGACAGCACACCACAAAGACACCTGGACGGCCATGTGTGCCTCTTCTCTCTCTTCTTCCACAGCCAGGAAGTGGAACCAGCCCACGTGTCTGTCAACAGATGAATGGTAAAGAAATCATGTTACGCCTGCACAGTGGAATTTCATGCAGCCACGAAGAGAGATGACGTCATGAGATCTACAGGACTGCAGACGGAACTAAAGGTTGTTATGCTAACTGAAGAAGACCAGACCTAGAAATAGAAATACCTCATGTCTCTCTAACTAAGGATCCTAGATGCTAAGGGGTGTATGTGTGTGTGGAGTCGGGGAAGGTAGGTCGTAAAACTTCTATACAGGGGCCCTTGAGACTGGAAGGGGAGATCTTAGGGAATCAGAGAGAACAGAACACACTGTCGAGAAGGTCGAAGGGGCCTGTGGGGGAGGGGAGAGCCACAAGGGTGAGGGAGAGAGCACAGAGAGGGGGGCATAGAGAAGAACCAACAAGAACATACTATGTGTGAAATACCACAATAAATCACATTACCCCGAATGCTAATATAAAAAGTCCAAATAAGATAAAATGCCGGGGGCTGGAGAGATGGCTCAGCAGTTAAGAGCACTGACTGCTCTTCCAGAGGTCCTGAGTTCAATTCTCAGCAACCACATGGTGGCTCACAACCATCTGTAATGGGATCTGATGCTCTTCTGGTGTGTCTGAAGACAGCAACAGTGGACTCATACATCGAATAAATAAATAAATAAATAAATAAATAAATAAATAAATATTAAAAAAAAAAAAGATAAAATGCCGGGCGGTGGTGGCGCATGCCTTTAATCCCAGCACTTGGGAGGCAGAG